TTTCTTCTATAACTACGATGCCGTGTCTGCTGTAGATCATGAAAATCTTCTCAGCAACATTAAAGCGGTAGGTGTGGTCATTCAAGATCTACGGGTATGCGAATGGTAAGTTACTATAAAAAAGAAGTACAGCTCCGGAATGAGCTACGCGTCCTATACGTAAGGCAGCGTCCTAGACAAGGCTAGAATCTGGGTCCCATTTTTGCCGAAGAGGGCCCTTATTTATCACAACATGAAGACCACGTGCTGCTCTTCTGTGGCTTAAGTAGTTCAATTTGCCCAGCCAGCACAGCTTAAAGTTCCAGTTCCAGCTGGGACAGTGCGATTTCCTGAACAAGTTTCCAGTTTCTCCGGGTTATTCGTTGGGTAAAGCTAAATCTCGTGACAAATAGACAACCAAACATAGCGCTCAAAGACATTGCCCACGATAATTTGGTCGTTCTCATTTAGTGAAGATGCCTAGTAAGATTAGAATTATCACAATCAGAAAATGGTGAGGGTTTTCGCAGCGAAAGACGCACTCAATAATGTTCAACTAGGCTCTATGCACCCCTGCCACCCTCATGCTTCGCTCCGCTTCGATGTGGCAGCTACAGTCGCTGTCTCTTGTTCTGAGCCCCCAAGCTCATGTGACCTAGAAGCGGTGCAGGGCATTCAAGTTAACGGCACGTTCTCTGAATGAGTTCTCAAACTCCGTAAAGTCACAATGACGAATATATAGGGTGAGTTAAATCATGAGATGAAATAAAATATTCGGAAGAAGTGCGAATAAATTCGAAGCGAAGCAGCTTCTTCCTTCTCTTCAGGCTTCACTTGCTTATGACTATACTGTGGTTGAGGGCAATATGTTAACGGAGTGGGTCGAACTCATTTCGCTGTGTGATCGTGTAATGTTCCTCACGCTGGATCAGGTAAGTCCACTTTGTCTTCTGGCCCCGTGTTTGTCGTAGGTGCGGGCTTTGTAACAGAAGTGTTCACAGAGCATTAATAATCCTTCTATTTTATAAAGCGCTAACTTTGTGTGTCGGTTTGTATGTCTGTATGTCTGTGTGTCCGTCCGCAAAATGAAAATGAAGTGAGTGGTTGGTTGATAGGATGGAATAAACAAGCCGATAACAGAAAACGGGAAGCTCGCAGGCCTCGCGCTATCAATGTTTTGCTAGAGCATGATTGTGATAACCCAGAACGGCTATATAAACACCTACTGGGCACACTCGGTCATTCCACAAGGTGCTGCAGTGGCAGCCGGAGAGCAGTGGAGGGAGGAGGGAGGATGAGGAATGGGGAGAAGGAATGCCAGGATTCGCAGGGAAGGGAATTTCCGGCGGTTGCCGGGGACCAATCTGATAGTATCAAATAGCTGTTGCGATATTACTTTTGAGGCCATCTCCACATGTGATACTGACAGTGAGACTGCAGTTACACGGCCACGACCGTGGGGAACGATATATACATGTCTAGTTCTTCACTTACCTTTTCTGGGTCATAGGGCTCATGTCAACCAACGCATGAGAGTCCAGACAGGATACAGGCAGCACATGCTTTGTGCTCATCTAAGACTAGGCCTTTCAAAGGAAGAAAAGAAAGCAGGGGTACTGTAATAGCTTGCATGTGCGAGAATGATCAAGCGACACAGCAAGATACCAAACCTTGTGATTGAGAAATGCCCTGGGACGTTTTTTTTCTGTAGTCAACATTTTTATAGGAAACGTGCCGTCGTCGGCGTAGGAGACGCAGTTATGACCCCCCAGACATGCCGGGTTATTTCGATGAAGTCGTATGGCCATCGTATCAACGACATCTGCAGAGAGCTCTACTGTTTGCTAGGAAAAGTTGCCGAATTTCGTTTTATGACGTCACCACGGATTCGGACCGTCCTGATCCAGAATTTATGACTTCGGCAAGTATTTCTCTAACAGGTTACTTCCTATCTGTTATGCTGTTTAGAAAGTTTTCCGTCCCGGCTCCTATGATTGTTTGAGAACGGATTGGTCTTTGGATCCCCTTTCCTGTAGAAAATCCGGCACTATTTACTTCAAGCCTATGTACAAACAGATATAATTCTGTTCCCCAGAAGGATAGGAGTTGGGATTCGAAGTAGTCCTCTCAAGGCCATTCAAACTGGAACTTCGCTAGGATTTTTTTCGTTCAGTAAGCGCTGGAGGTGGTTTGAGAGCCTGTACTCGCACAGGGCGGGGCTAGGATTTCAGAGTCCCACTGATTTCCAGCCAAGCCCCATTGCAGTCGCAGACCGGCCATAATCATCAATCTCCACCAAGTCCTCATACAGCAGAACGGGACAGCCTGAGTTTCAGTGGCTGGTTGGATCAAACAATATCGGTCCAAGCACCGACGAACGGGTCGTATTTGGCCCACGGGGGAGACGTAAGCGCGATGTCCAACTACGGCTATACCGGAAGAGAAGCCGAATTCTTCGCCCAATAAAGTTTACCAACTTCTCAGAGGCTTCAACATTCAAAAAGAAGATACTCACTATGCCAAGAGTGAAACGAAGTCGAACTTGAAATGCATCTGCTAATTAGAAGCACGGCGCATACCATGGCAGGGATTGTTAATGCAAAGCGCTTTGAGTTAAACTTGTCAGTAGCAAAAAACTGTTTAAAGGGAATGAGATGTATCTGGAGTGAATTGAAATGCAGGAAATTGCAATAGTCTGCAAGGATGGAATTCCTTCAAGGAGAACAAAAATTTTTCCAAAGGAATCATTTTTGCATTTGCAGGATTCTCACTACCGCTTGAATAAATTTTAGAAAGCAC